GGAGGAGGTGGAGGCCGAGGCGACGCTGCGCGCCTGCGTGCTGGCCCACCAGGTGGGCTGCCCTCTGCACGTGGCGCCCGTCATGTCGCGCTCCGCTGGCGAGGTGCTGGCGGAGCGGCGCCGCCAGGGCCACCTGGTCGGCGGCGAGGCGTGCGCGGCCGCGCTCGCCACCGACGGCACGCACCAGTGGAACCGGTGCTGGCGGCACGCGGCGGCGCACGTCACCAGCCCGCCGCTGCGGCCCGACCCGGCCACGCCCGAGCATCTGACCGGCCTGCTCGCCAAGTGAGTGCACCGCCGCGAGCCAAGGCACGACAGCGATGTCGTCGGTGAGGAGGTGGCCTCGCTTTGTGTTTGCCTCGTTGGCTCGCGGTTCGCAAGCTGGTGGCAAGCGTGGGTCGAGTTTTGAACCCTGAGCTGGGGCTCTCGTTGCCATGCGTACCTTACCGCCTGTATAGTAGCAAAATCTATTTGTGTTAGAAGTGGCAGTTAGGCCTGATCAGTGGATTGAATGTTCGATGTTAAATCGTCATAATGTAATGGAACATTTCGTCGCATAGCTTCCGCAATGTTGTGATAAAATGCGCATTTCCGTGCCATTACCGTACTGTCCTGTGTAGAGCGGAGCTGGCATGATCTCATCGACCTGCTCGTCCTCTCTGCAGCGACGATCTGCAGTGCGCGAGAGCAGCAACCACTGCGCGTTCACGATCGAGCAGAAGGCGGCTGGCAAGGATAACTTCACGAAGATCCCTCAGGGCGTGAACGGCATCGAGGACCGCATGTCCATCGTCTGGGAGAAGGGCGTCGCCTCGGGCAAGATGGACGTCTGCCAGTTTGTGGCCGTGACCAGCACGAACGCATCCAAACTGTTCAATCTCTATCCGCAGAAGGTATGTCCAATCTAAATGGCACAGTCGCTGTTGAGCATGAAAAGCCGTCGCGAAGGTTTCGGAACGTGTATTGCGCATTGTTCAGCTACAACATCTTTGCTACGGCTCTGAGATCACGGCCGGTAGGTCGAGCGTCGGAAACTTTACCCGTAAATTGTTTTCCTTACAATGGGACAAACGGCACAAGCTTCCGCTACCGATGCTCCGCCGCGTGCTGTAGAGTAGCCAGCACGAGCGAGCGCAGACCGTGACACAGCCCTACGCCCACCAGGGCGTGATCGCGGTCGGCTCGGATGCCGACATCGTCATCTGGGACGGACAGGCCAAGCAGACGCTGTCGGCCAAGACGCACCAGGAGCGCCTGGACTTCAGCGTGTTCGAGGGCCTGCGGTGCCGCGGCGCGCCGGCCTGGGTGCTGGCGCGCGGCCGCCTCTGCCTGGAGGAGGGCCAGCTGCGTGTGGTGCAGGGCGCCGGCCGGCTGCTGGCGCGGCCGCCGTTCGCGCCGCACCTGTACCGGCGCGTGCAGCAGCGCGACACGGCCGGCCTGCCGGCGCCCGTCAACAGGGACGGCGTGCCGGACGATGCGGACCCGCCGGTGGTGGACGTGTCCAACGGCGTGCGCCGCGTGGCCGAGACCTTCTCCGGGAGGCCGGCGGAGGATGTGGAGTCGCTGCCGCCGGCCGAGGATGAGTTTCACAGCCGCCAGGAGCCGGCCGAGGGCGTGCGCAACCAGCAGAACTCTGGCTTCGCCGTGTCGGGTGAGGACCAGCTGCCGCGCGGTGAGCCTGCGTGTCTGAATGCCAAGTCATTTGTCATTGTTGGTTTTTTACTGTACTCGTTTGGATCCATCGTGCCTCTTGCGTTGAGATCCTGGTCGTGCTGTGGGTGTTGGAGGTGTTGATATCTCGCTTGGATGAGGTGCATTGATCGTGAATGCAGTAGCCAAGATAATTTGATCAAACCTTATTTATAATTTGCCTGTATCATGACACGGACGTATACGCCCTACCTACCTGGAGTTACCATCCTGCACCGCTTCAAGGGCGTTTCTTTGTTTGGCTTCACAGGAGCTCAGATCGACGACAAGGCCCCGAAGAGAACCGGGGTGAAGGTGCACGCTCCGCCCGGAGGCAAGTCTGCCGGCAGCTTCTGGTAACCACAGCAGACCTGTCAAGCTCCGGTCGGCTGCGCACCAGCCGGCGACTGCCCTGCAGCAGCTGGTGAGCCGCTGGCAAGAGCATCTTATCTAGCAACGCCCCAGTCGGTAGCCCTGGAGCACGGGCAACTATTCCACGCGGCGTCCACGCACGACTCGAGCGACACTGCCGGTTGAAGACGCCGGGAGCGCCACCACTCTGCCCGTTCGCTGGTCCGGCTGTCAACGTCCAGGATGCTCGCAAACGCGAAGAGTGGTGTGGAGTGTTCTAGCGTGCTGGTCTCAGTGCAGTGTACGCTAGAACGCTCCACCTGGGCGGGTCCGCAGACGTAAGTACACCCCTGTGTGCGTGTGTGCTGCGCCTGCGTGCGCGTGCGTGGTGCGCTCCCAGATGTGGCGTTTGCACCTCAGGTGGCGCCTGTTCCGCGACCCAGGACCCCGCCAAAGAACTGCTCTGGCTGCTTTGATTCCCCCCGCCTTTGCTTCCCATGCCGGGGTTGTATGGAGGTTGGTCATCTGGACTGGTCCGAATGATTGGCTGCGGTGTTAGACTGACGAAGCGGTGCAGAGGTGTTCGCACGCAGCTAGGTTTAAATTACCGGTTTGAAAAGTAGCTACGTGTTTTGGTTGATGGACCGAGATGAACAGTGTCTTGCTGGATGTTTTCGAGGAGTGTGGTGGAGAGTGATGATGCGGTCTGGTGCGGTCATGCAGGGAGAAGCCAAAATGGATGCACGTAAAACATTTTCCTAGCGTTTGATACCGCGGTGTTTTCACACGAACTTTGGCAGCTGCACTGTCTGTGGGCATTTGGTCGAGTTAGACATGCTGGCACCTTGTACCCTGTTGCAAGAAGTGGCAGCCTGTGTGCACGGTGATGATTCGCCGACGTAGATCTATGTCCGTTTTCTTTTCATGCTAGGATGTTTCCTTTTGCTTGCATGATGTTGCGCACGTTCAGGCAGTGTGCCCGCCGAATCTTAAGCTTTAGTGTGTGGTTGTTGTCGAAATGCGTCTGTTAAATATTTGTTTGCAACTTCTGCTAAAATAAAAATCCTAGTCGGATGAAATTTTCTGCACGAAAAGCAACCGGCAATTTTTAAATGTATGCGTGGTCGCGTAAATGGTATAAGTCGTCATGCGTTACGTTTACTGCGGAATCCCGATGTTCATTTGCAATGCAGTGGGAAGATTCCAATGATTATACCAGCATTACATCACCCAAGGTATACAGGGCCTTGGATGGCACCATGTTTTACCTCGGGTGCTACATGCCCTTTACATCCTTGGTGCATGATTACTGTGTATCGCTCGAGCTTACTCATTCCTTCGCATTCGCAAAATGAAACCATGGAGTTCAGAAAAAAGATCTTGGTCATTTCCGCTGCAGACGTTCATTATTGTTATACCAGATTGGCTTTTACAGCACAACACATACGAGAAAACATGGGCTGCGCATGTTTCGGAGAGCTGAGCTACGCCCAGGCGCCCTGTCTGACCGAATTCCGGTGAACCTAGACCGGTTGAAACGGCCGTGACACAGCGGCCTTCATTTGACGGTGGAATTAACCATTTGAAGGTAGATATGCGGACGCAGGAGAGACTGGTTACCATCGCCACACCAATGACAGTTGGCTGCTGCCACGGGCTTTACCACAGGAAGGGGCGGCGGAGATGCAACCCCATCCAACACGGCTCAGGTTAGCGTGAAGCCGGCGTGCGTTGTGAAAAGAAACGGGTTGAAGGCCGCTATGCCACCCGCCTTTGACAGATAGCGGGAGCCTGGATACTGGCACACAGAGGTCCGCTCTGACCGTAGGTACGAGGCGTCTGCGAGCAATCCGGCGCTGAAGGTCCCAGCAGGCAGCAACGATAACACGTAATGCGAACATTTACACCGAAGCAGAGCTCAGTTAGCAACAGAATGGCTTCCGCTCGTCCGGCCTTCGAGTCAGCGTAGACCAGTTTACCCTCGTCCTGAACTAGGCAGCCATTAGGCAGCCATAGGGAAACTTCTCCATTCAGAAGAATGACAGCCAGAGACTATAATACAGCAGGAGACAGCCTAGTGCTGCGTATCATGTTTCAGGTAGTCATTCGTGGCGGGCATGTCACCATATCGCACTTCTACAAGACGTCGCAAACAAAGTTTTCGGACGCAAACTTAAACTTAACAGAACACGTGCAGATATATATCCACGTGGCCGTCACCAGGGGCAAGAGGTGGCTGCTTGTTTGCCATTTGCTAGGGCTGGCAAACAGCTGCCCTTCCTTCCCCCTTGAAATCAGGATGCCTCGCATGTCAAAAGGAGGCCCGATGACCGATGCCAGGACTGCTGCAGACCCCCCAGACGGAATATCTAAAAACAAATGAGGGTTTTTAAGGGATGGAGAAGGTAATATTTAGCCGCGAAGAAGGCCGTGGATAGCAAACTTGAGGGCCCCAGGGGTCGACTGGAGACCTCAGACAATGTAAAGAAGGCTCCAAATGATGCATAGAAGCCCCAATGAAAAGCACAGGAAGTCCCAGTAGCTCAAGAGGAGGCCCCAGTGACAAAGAGCGGAGGTCCCGTCAGACAAAAATGGTTCAGCTCAATTGCATAAAACTGTACCGAAAGGACCATCTCACAAAAGGACGAAATTCGAAGAGAAACTATTAGATGGGTAAGGTCTAGGATACTCTACAGCCACTACCTGCTAAGGAAGCTCTAGACCATCTTGCCCCCCCCCCCCCCCCCCGCCTTGGGAAGCGTAGGTAACGGTTGCCCCTGATGTGACCTTTATTTTAAGGACAAAACATCGGAGACTGTCAGTCCCCGCTTACGCTGGAGGGCGACGGCGATGACAATAGTCTACGCTTGAGTTAACGCGTCTCAGTGGAGCAAAACGCCTGTGGCGCCACTCCGCACGTGACACGTATTTCCAGCTAGTGTCTGAAAGTCTGACTCTGACTATATCTTAAGCTAAGCGTCTCTGCATACGTCTACGCAGGAACCAATCGCGTACGACCGACGCGCGTGACTAGACAACGTACGTCAGCGAGTGCACATTTCCTGAAGAGATGAAACAATGGATTTCTTTCCGTGGCGAGAGAGAACACGAACGAAGCAAAATACACGAGCTGCGACGTGCGAGCACGCGCTGGTCGAGATCCCGAGTTGGCGACGACGGTCCTCATCGCTTAGATGCCGTCTGCAGCAGGATTTACTTCACCCAGACGATGTTGCCGCATTTTCTGCAGGCGTTCCTTGCCACTGTTTCTCTGATTCGCTGGTGGTACCTCTCATCTGGAGCATAAGTCAAATGGAATCAGGGCGGTCGGCAAGCTGTCAGTCCTCGGAACCGTCACTCACAGACAACACGTTGACCCGACTCAGCCGACAAAGTTTTTTCGCATAAGCTTATATCATACGATGTTATAATGCATCACATTTATATTCGTGTTCACTCATAACTTGCTCTTTCTATGCTACCCTGTTATTTGAGACGTTCCACCGATACATTTTGTATCATATTTGGGCCACTGACCGCCTATTCACGAGCAGCACCAAAGCCAGGATACCATCTTTCGTACTTCTGAGGACTCCCGGGACTCAAAACTTTTTAGATTTCAACATAAAGTCTGCGGCATTAGCGATACATGAACGAACAGTTAGCACCAAGCAGCCAACATTTGTTCTTGGAGGTCCCGAATCATTTTTGGTAAGTGACGTCTCAGTGAGAACTTTTCCTGTCGTGCACAATCGTTCTAGAGATGCCGCTGAAACTTGGTGTCATTACGAACAGGGACAAAACATCGTAAAATATCGTGGTGTCATTACGAACAGGAATAAAATATCGTGAAATATCGTGTTGTCACTACGAACAGGAATAAAATATTGTGAAATATCGTGGTGTCATTACGAACAGGAATAAAATATCGTGAAATATCGTGGTGTCATTACGAACAGGAGGAGAGCTAGAGACTTCGGTGTATTTGCAACGCAACAACAAGGTTTTTGATTAGACATTGCGTAGAACCTTTGCTGGACCTGCTGTTAAGGCGAAGCGTTTTCTGTAAGTTGTTCAGTCCATTAGCGAGGAATATTATTCACATAGATAAGACAGTGGTATTAGCCTTATTCCTCGGAAAAACCATGAGAATGGAGATATTGCTAGATTGATATTTCGCTTACATGCCTTTATCGAAACAATAGCAGACGCGAATTGATATTGCGTAGAACGTATTCACTTCTGCTATTGTTTCGATAAAGGCATGTTGCCGAGATATCAACCTTACTATGTCTCCATTCTCCTGTTTTTTTCCAAGGAATAAGGCTAATATTAATGTCTTATCTATGCGAAACGTTTTCCGTTTATCTTCGTAACCTTGGTGACAACTCCGCATGCAATACATACATACAATACAATACATACAATACATGCAATACAATACTTACAACACATGCAATATATACAATACATATAGGACGTCCACACGTACTCTGCGTGTCCAGACAATGAAAACTGCAAATTATGCTGTTTGGCTGCGTTTACTGGTGCTTTGCTCTACTCGTCGTCTGTCCCTGACGTACCCACTGTTTTTTGGTAGGTAAACCTTGTTGCGCGCGTTTCTGTCTGACTTCGATCAATTAAAGGGAGCGTCCCATTTTGGAACATACTCAAAATCATACCCTGGTGAAACCTCATGGCCAGGTAGTCCGATTAAGAGCATCGGGGTAGTGCCGCTGCAGCGTCGTCAACACATTATAAGGACATCAATTGTGATTACTTTCAAGTCCAAATCGTGCCGTCAACGCTTTGAGGCACCACTATGTTTTTTACCTGCAGTTGTCGCTACCGCCATCGTGAAGAGGACCGGCATGGTACTTCTACTGGTGCGAACAAGCAAACGTTTGTGATTGGCCCGGCGGGCGGCAAGGGCGCATTTGCCAAACTAGCGTGTCACCAGTCGAAGCAGTCGTGGTTGCCGAAAAGCGTAAAGTAAACTACTTCTAATCAAAATTGCGAGGTAATCAAAGGGATTTCGAGAAAATTGGTCCTACTGATCGAATCGCACGCGTCTGATCTAACAACAGGGGAAAATACGAAAAGGTGACACACTCCCTCTAATCAAAAAAGATATACGCGTCCGGCAAGGATTCTACGTGACGTCACGTAGAACTTTGTCGTTCGGGTCGCTGCGAATACCAAAATGCGCAGAATCTCTGGGGCAATTCGTCATGAATGACATAGTCAGTATATACGCGATGCTGCTCGGTTCGCTGCGAACACACCCTCTCGCCTCTAGTCAAACGTTTGGGTAGAATGTTTCTGTGCAATTAGCACCAATACCATCGCTCTCGTCATCGTCCTCCTCAATGACGTCATCCACCATCAGCTGAGCCATGCCGGCGTCATCTGGCCCGGCCGGGACCATGGAGACTGAACGCTTCCACTTGTTGGGGGTCTGGCTGCCTGCGGCGGCGGACAGTCGTCAATGTCAGAGCCTGTCCGCGTCTGGCGCGTGTTCACCATCATTTATGCACTCAACCATAACAAACAGCTATGAGGTTGTTTACGTCCATGCTCTTGGGCATTACTTTAGTACAGTTTAGGTGCGGTTTACTCGCATAGCACTGGACGTTAAGTTGTTTCAGCACGTTAACAGTGCACTAAAGGTGTCATTTTTAGACAGCTTGTGGGGTGCCATGCGCGCACATTAAGCATCACTGAAGGCTCATCATGATGCATCTTTAGGCGGACCCGATACGAGTTAAGACATGAAGGTGGGCGAGGAGATCATTTCGTGACGTCGTTCTCAGCATTTCATAACGCGCGTGGCCAACGACCCCCAGCCTCGCTGGCTGTCAGTCTTTCGTTGTCTCGCCGTCCATCACCAATAACCAGTGGACATGTAACTCCCTTCTCCGGTACCAGCTGACCCTTCGCTGATGGTAATTAGGTACTTCAATAACTCTTCACTGTCCTGGCATGCTTTGATTTATTGGGGACTGTTTACGCTCATCCTAGCACTGGGAGTGACTTCCTGATTTGGCCTTTTAACACGCTTTCCGACACCATGCCAACGTCTCCCAGGGTCAGCCAAAATTTTAGTAAACCCTGGTGCTGCTTTACTTTCTCCGTAATATCAGCTGATCGCGTCTCAGGCGTCAAATGACTCCTCTCCAGGGGGTCAGTGAACCCACAGGTCTTGCTGGCCTGGCCCGCATCTCCTCTCTGCAATGGCGTAGTATGCTGGTCCTCGCCATGCTCACCGTTCTTACTATGCTAAAAATTGTCTATTGTTCTCACCATTCTTAACGCTCCTGCCGTGCTCACCCGTCTCACCGTTCTCGGAGGTGTCCTGCTCGCCGTTCGTGTCGCCGTCGGCGTTGGACGCCATGGTTGACACAATGTCCATGCGGGAGTCCAGTGAGAACTGCTTCCCAGACATGATCATGCCGCGCACGCGGCGCCGAAGCGCTGAGGGCAGGAGGCGTTCCAGGTCACGGGATGGCGCTGCGGCGTTGGTGGCAGGGGGCGGTCCAGGTCACAGGATGGCGTCGCAGCGCTGAGGGCAGGAGGCGTTCCAGGTCACGGGATGGCGCCGCAACGTTGGTGGCAGGGGGCGGTCCAGGTCACAGGATGGCGTCACAGCGCTGAGGGCAGTAGGCGGTCCAGGTCACGGGATGGCGCCGCAACGTTGGTGGCAGGGGGCGGTCCAGGTCACAGGATGGCGTCACAGCGCTGAGGGCAGTAGGCGGTCCAGGTCGCGGTATGGCGGCGTAGCGTTGATGGCAGAGGTCTGTTCAGGTCACGGGAAGGTGACGAAAAGCCCAGAGCAGGGAGCGGTCCAAGTCACGGTAAGGCGGCGAAAAGTTAAGAAGAGCAGAGGGGGGGGGGGGCAAAGGTCATGGTAAGGGGGCAAAAAGGCAACAGCAGCGAGCGGACCCGATCACGGCAAGGTGGCGAAAAAGTCAGGAGCGGGGGGGCGGGCTAGGTCCGGGATGCTGCTGTATTCAAGAATATGTGCGCGCCGCGCTCGTGTTGTGTGTGTGGTGGTGTGTTGTGTGTTGGTGTGTGTGTGTGTGTTGGTGTTGTGTTGTGTGGTGTGTGTGTGTGTGTGTGTGTGTGTGGTTTGTTGTGGTGTGGGTGTTGTGCGTGCGCGCGCCGCGCGCGCGCGCGCGTGTGCGTAATCTAGGCAACAACTGCATTAAAAGAGTCATCTCACTAGTTCTTGAAGTTGATATCCCCATTATGAAGCGGACAAAATGGGAATTCGGAACGCTCCAAACAGAGCCTGTCAACTGAAATCCCAGAGAATTAATTTTGTACACTTGGTGTTGCGAACTTTTTGCTGAACAAAATAATTTAGCTATTCATGAACGACGAGCTCTACGCTGACTTTTCTACATTGCCCACATCCACCACTTATTACACTATCGCAGCTAGAGAAGGGGGACTCATCGCCAAAGACCCTAAAGGTATAAGTTATAGACGAGCTTGAACGGGAACCGCCCCACCACCGTGACGGGATACCACAGGAGTCACAGAAAACTCACCGGGACTGTTACGGACCAGGTCGGTCCTGAAGTGGGCCAGCTTCTTGGCGAAGTCTCCCAGCAGATCCTTGTTGTCAAAGATGGCCACGTAGCTGCCGTCCACGATCTTGGGCGACATGGGACTGTTGGCCAGCAGCAGCGAGGTGCCGAAGTCCGGGTTACGACGCGTCTCTGAAACACGCGCAAACCGAACTGTGCAGGCCGATCGCATCGCTTGAAAGCCAGAGGGAACAGCGAAGCGCGTGAGATCAGGCATCGATGCAGGAGTACGATCTGTCTGTCGGATCCGGTCGTTCGTTCACATGTTGATCCGAGGAAAGACTCCACTGTATGTCAACACCAAAGGAGCTTGGCGACAAAAACCTTTAGTATGGTCTCTCCTTTTCCATCTCCAAATGCAAAAACACTGCAGCCCAGGCCTCTTCTCGTCCCGTTACACGCAGCAGAACTACAGTTGGACCTGTGCGCTTAAGGTCCAGATTATCTCGACGCAAGGCGTACATGCAAGGCAAGCCGACGGAGGGACCGCACCTGCCAGCATGATCTTCTTATGCTGCTGCTGCACGGGCGCCCGACTCTCGGCCAGAACCTCGGACGCCGTGTCCTTGACGACGTTCCAGTCTCGGGTCAGGTCGTCCAGCCGGGTGTGCGTGGATGTCACCGTGAAGCGAATCACGTATTTGCCCTGGGTCAAAGATCATGTGTCCGTCAATTTTGGCAGGAGAGCCCACAGCGCAGCAAACGACGGCGTAGTCTTTGACTGTGCCTCCCATATGTTTCATACACATGTTTATTATAGTATTCACATTTGAAACGTCATTCAAGTGATGGACGTTGAAGGAGCTCGCACAACATGAAGGCTGTAACATAAGCTATGTTGACCTTTAGTGACAGACTTAGGAATACAAATGTAGGAAAGAATGCCACCAAGCACAATGCAATCAAAAAAGGTTTTTAAACTGCCGATCGAGATTACCAGCCAACATGCTAAGATCGGGAGTGTAGCAAGCTCTGCACAAGAAATCTGTGGCACTTGAGGTTAACTTGATTCGTTTTCCCAGCCTGGGCTGAGGCTCCGGGGTACCGGGCCGGTGGAGAACAGTCCCTAGACTGCGGGGGTGCTCTGCTCGGGTAATGAGCGAAGTCACGGACTCCAGATGGATGTCCCAGGGTACTGAGCGGGGTCGCGGGCTCCAGACAGGTACCCCAGGGTACTGAGCGGGGTCGCGACCCGCGGACCCGTGCACGGCCGGCGTTTAGAGCACTGACGGGCCGACCTCTGCATGCCAGGGAGCCGACCTCTGCATGCCGGGGAGCAGACCTCTGCATGCCAGGGAGCGGACCTCTGCGTGCCAGGGAGCCGACCTTGAGCGAGGCCGGCACGCAGTGGATCTTGCCCCCGGAGTTGAGACGCTTCAGCAGCCGTTCAGTCAGCTGGTTGTCGCCGCGCAGACGGAAGCAGATCAGGCCCAGGTGGCGCGTGGCGGCCACTTCGAAGCGCGGGTCGGACTGCACGAACAACTCGAACTTGTTGGCCAGACGGACGCCCTGTGGGGGAGCCGCGTAGCCGGGCGGGGGCGGTCGTTAGTGGAGCGGAGCGACGGAGGCCGACGCGGCGCGGCAGCATACACGCAGCTGCAACACTGCGAAAAGATGATTGGCTGATACGGATAGGGATTGCAGATAGTGAAGAGATATAGGATATACTGGAAACATGATAATGTTGGGAATATATTGTCCGTTATTTCCCTGTGTTATTTCTATTATACCGGATGATATACGGAATATAGTAGAAAAGTGGCATGAAAAGATTAAAAAGGGAAGATAGAAAAACTCATAATGGCAGAAATGCGTCTAGACGTGCCAGCGTTCGCGCCTGAAATGATGTCTGAAAATCAGATATACCTTCCACAAACATATCATTGATCTGTCCATCACCAGAAGACCATGCCAGAAGCAAACTATGAACAACCTGACTTCGGCAGAATGCTGTGTAATTTTTATCTGGGCCTGACCCGGACTCGTACCTCCCTGACGTGTGCCTGCAGGCCTTCCACACCGTAGCTGCGCAGCACAAACCACAGCTTCAACGCCCGGAACCTCTTGCTCAGAGGTATCTGCCAGTGCTGAGCCACAGAAACGGACGTCAGTGCGCTGAGATCTGCAACTTTTACGCCGGTAACAACGTCTGAGATCTGCTCATGTGGAGACTCGAGTGGCATCATGGCAACCGGAACTTGCCGATAATCGATATAAGGGGCTTTCCGAACTGTGCCACAAAAACGGTCAAATCAGCTGAAGCCCTATGCCAGCAGAGTTGAGACAGACATTTCCATGGCGTCCGACTCGCTGGCTGATCTCTCTGCCGTCTTTTCTGCTCAGTTGTGACTTTCAGCAAAACCGTCTGGCAGCTTGTGGGTCAACGCCCGGGCCCATCGTCTGGCTGGCTGCGGCTCGGTCTGTCCACTGACAAATCCGCGGCCAAGAAGCCCCGCCACCGCAGGCCCGACACGCGGGCGCCGGAGGGGGTGCCGCCGACTCACCATAAAATCAATGGCGTACCCTGAAACGGTGACACCAGTCAGTGGTCGCCGAAGCGTCCGGCGCAGTAATACGGCCTCCGGCGCACGTGGCTGAGGCCGCGCGCCGGCAGGCAGGGCGTCGTTCATGACCAGTTACGTCTCGGCATGGATGTTTCAAACTATCAGCGAGGTTTTTGTTGAGAAATGGTGTTGCCGACCGCGCGCTGTACGCGCAACTTACGCCACGATAGCACTGAATGCACGGGCAGCGGTGGAAGCCTGCTTCAACATTGGACGTGGCATGAATGGTGTCTTTAATCCTGCCATGAAATGCGGTGCAGCCTAACATGTAAGCTAAGCGCACGCTTGAAGTGTTTTCGTAGAAATTCCGTTGTGTTCCCAGACATAACAGAGGTGGATCATATGGCAGAACAGTTTTGAAAACGGCCGCACCAAGCTAATTGTAAGTTACAACCGCTCCACCATTTGGCTATATCAAGGTAATGGTTCCGACATATTTGGCACATTAGATTGCCAGAACACTTTACATCCAGTGCTCGCGGCATGCGGGGACAGCCGGCGTACTTCGTTCTAACCCACTTCTCATGCAATGGTTGTTGAAGGTCCAGTTTGGCAGCATGCTGGACATGAGACGCGCGCTGGGAACCTGCCCATTTTGCATCGTTCCTGACAGAAGCACCTGGCTTAGGTACACTTCACTATCGTCATGGGTATCAACATCAACGCTTGCCATTACGGAGGGGTGCCAAGTCAGCCAGCTAGTTGAGGACCCACCCGAGTTCTCGTGCTGGAGATACAAGGGATCCACGTTGAAGGTGCGGTGTAAGGTCTGGCTGTTTTTTACCCTGAAACAAATAAGGAGTGAGCGAAGCATATTTTTTCAGTATTGCAGACGTATCCATGATGGAACGGAGTTCCATGAATGAGTGACACCCACCCACACCCACACACACACCCACACCCACACCCACACCACACAGATACCCACCCACACCAACGCATCCACACCCACACACACCCACACCCACACCACACACACACACACACACACTATATATATATATATATATATATATATATATATATAAAAACACGATTTTGATGCATATATGTACATATATGTACATGTACATGTACATAAAAACCCTCATAAAATTGCAATAAAACCCTTCTTATATATAATTATACATTTCAAGCTCAGTGCTACAATTTGGTGTAAACAGAACGAAGGGGTTTGGGAAGTAAACCTTTATCTATGCATTCTCGTTTTTTACTCCTGCCACCAACTGCAGTGAGAGCCTGTGTTATTTTCTTCTCGGGTTTTCTGCTCGATTATTTGGATCACCACAGTCGTTCAGCTGGTGAGTGACCATGGTAGTTTCAGGGTGCCTTGCAACGATCGTGTCGTAGTGTTGTATGACACTTCGCATGACATGCAAAAACACTTCGGTCAAAATTTCTTGTGGTACTGGAATTTCTTGACTGAGATGGGGGTCTTCGCAACAGCCCATACCTAGCAAGGACTCTGACTCCGCAGCTAGGCACGCAAACCGTTCAATCAAATTTCATTTTGGAATTAATCGTAGTAAATTCAGCGTATCAGTTAATCCCGGTAGATCAGCAGGTAAGTACTTGGATAATCATAGGTGTTGGAAAGTACTGACCGCTGTGTTTCAGAAATGCGTAGCCGGTGTGTTACGAAAATTTATATTGCGTCCTTTAAGCAGACACAAATGGTAAAATGTCACGTGGAGAGACACATCTGCACCGCGACTTTGCATTACTTATTATCCGCGCATTCAGCCAGATAGGCGTTTCCGTCCCGCATGGCAACCGTTATCAGCGAACAGGTAACTCCAAGACGAGCGTGCAAGTGAGATGTTGCAGCCGAGTGCAGATGCTCGTGTCGTCAACGAAATGAAACACTTTCGTTGTACATGACTTGTCATAAAGGTTTTCCATTTTATGCACACGCCTTGCAGTGCGAAAAAGACGGCGCTGTTTTTTGTTATCGTCAGTTGGCAGGACACAGTCGGCGTCTCGATACTTTTTTCAAGATGTCTTGGCATTACACATTGTTTCTTAGATCTCACTTTGATTTTCCGAACCGCATGAATGCCCTTGAATTCTTCTAATACTTCTTAGTGTGCTTCTTAATGCTTTTTAATGCTTCTTTATTCTTTAATGCTTCTTAACGCTTCTAGTGCTTCCTAGTACTTCCTTTAATGTTTCTAATGCGTCCTTTTATGCCTCTAATGCTTCGAGACGCGTTAGCGGCATATGCCACTAGCATGTCTCCTCATATCGTAATAATGCATCCCTCAGTAATAGGCATGGACGAGGAAAAACATGCGGGCTTAGACCCGGCACAAAATATTATTCCCCGATGATGTCAAACTCTGTCTTGTTTTTTGTTATTTGACCTGATTTTGCATGCGTTAACAGGACTAGGTGCTGAGCCCCGCCCCATAAAAACATTGAATTGGGAGTACACTTTGTTCTGTCGGGCGGTGGAAAAGATGATCACAAATCGCTCAGCTTCATTCGAATCGATCCTCATGATGACCCGCTATCGATAAATGTAACGAATGGTGGCAACGCTCTTTGCCACACATATGGGTCGAATGCATTTCCAGTCTAGCAAGGTGTAGTCCAAATCTCAAATTTATCTGGGTTTGGCTGCGACAAGTGAGCTTGAATTTCTCCTGCTACAATAAGCAAGAATAGGTGCATTCCGAACTTTACGACCCGCAGTGGAAAAAGGCGTTATGAACTAAACGCACCATGACCATTAAACGAGACGTCCAGGGTCAGGAAGTAGCAAGGGTTTAAGTACGATCACAAAAGTCATACCACGCCGCATAAGTGGGCAATTTTATCGTCGACGCATACCGAATTCATTCGAACTGTTCAAGGAAGCTAAACCGTACTATCTGTTCCTATCCCCTTTGCTTTGCGACCGTTTTCGTACAGTTTAATCGTCATTTATTGATTGGGGCTTTACGTCTCACCGGCTGCTAGGACCCATCATTCAATCGTTGTGGTTACAACGAGGCAAGACTAAGCGTCTTAAAACCAGCACCGCAAACATTCCGATAATAAATCATAATCACGGATGACAAGTCAGGTTGTGGTTACAGCTGCTCGCAGAAACTGTTGTCATCGAAAATGTCGTTTTGGCAGCGCTGGAGACCTTTTGATTCTAATGAACGCGAGCCGGAACGATCAAAGCGAAAGCAAAAGGTAGGTGCCGATGGCAAACCAATGCAGCAGCGCTTTGCTTGGAACTGGCTCTTCAGTCAGCCGTCCCGGTGGGCTGGAAAGGACACTGTCTTTGAGCATAGTGCAGGCCACATGCGCTCTCAGTCGCGGCCGCTTGCAGCTACAATAGAGAACGAAACGCTGTGTTCATTCTGGCGCCACTACCAGACGCTGAATAACTGTAGACGCATATGCTGCCGGCGCACCCCGCTATTCCGCCATACACCCGGCACATGAGCGACGCCGTGCACGCGACCACGCCACTGAATTGCCTGAATGGGTCGAATGACCGCGTAGTCTAGCCCACTTGTCACTGCCCTCTGGCCACCGGCGTGCAGAACAAGCCGGACGCTTCAATCGCGTGCACGGGAGGGTGTCGAGGACAAAGACGTGCAGTGGCCGGCTTGGGCGTCTCCCGGAGCGACCCAGCCTCGCTCAGGTACAAGAGCGGCGCCACCTGGCCAGGATCGCGCATTCTAGATACGTGATGCGGTCTGCTTCGACGAGAACGCCCTGCATCGCCGAGAACTTGGAGTAACGGAGACCGTTCGGCGAAGGCGAAAGCCTCAACGAGTGTGAGAGCATTCCGCACCGGCGGGAAAACCCGAGGCCGGTGGACATCAGTAGTGGAGGGATGGCCGCTCGCTGGGTGGGGACGTGCTGTGCGCTGCTGGTCGTCATCCGCAGGGCCTCTGCCTCTTCCCTGTACGCGTCCAGCGCCCACCGCGGTGACCTGGAGCTGGCCGGCGTCGAGCCGACGCTGTTGCTGGCGCTGCCCTCGCTGGCGCTCTGCAGCATACTGTGCGCCCGTCAAAGCGAGGGCTGCGCCAGCTTCTCCTACAACGGCAGCGTCTGCGCGCTGATGCCCCGCGCCGCTTGCGACGCCGGCGGCTTCAGCGAGCTGCGGCGCGCCGTCGGCTCGCGCTACTTCGACGTGTACCCGCAGCGGCCCGCGTGAGGCGCTGCTCCCGAGCTGGCACTCGTCCGCTTGCCGTGAGCATGGCCTCTGCGCCGAGCGGTGCCTGGCAAGCGCCGGCGGCGACGCCTGCGCGCTGGACGAGCAGTGCGCGCTGGCACTGCCGCTGACGGGCGGCGACCAGTGGAGCTGCCGCGACGGCCGCTGCGCTCAGACGTGGAACGCCAGCGCCCGGCTGCAGCTGCCGCTGTTCGGCTCGGAGTGGCTGACGGACGGCAGCGCGTCTGGCTGGCTGTACAAGGCGCTAGCGCCGCGGAGCCCTTGCAGCGTGACGCTGCGTGTCGGCTGCGCCGCCGGCTGCCAGGTGGCGTTCCGTGTCAGCGAGGATAACCAGCCTGAGGAGCGACACTACTTTTTCCACCTGAACGACTCCGCCGTGTCGGTGCAGTACCGCCACGACGCGTACGAATCGCGCGAGTACACCCGCATCAGGGCGGGCCTGCTGCCCGAGCAGCCGACGGCGACCGTCACGTTCTCCTGGTGCTCAGACGATGGCAGAACCGCCCTGCAGGTGTACGACGGCAACAACGTCATGGTGTACGCGCTCACCATCGCCGCGCCGCTGCCAGAGGCGGCGCTGCGGTACGTCTCGCTACGCAGCTGGCCGTCGGTGGCACGCTGGAGCGTGGAGCGCGACCTGGCCGATGCCTGGGCTCTGCTGGACACGCCGCCGGGGTCCGAGCGGGTCTACACAGTGCTGCAGGGCGGTCAGATCGCCCGCCGCCTGCCCGTCCCCTCCAGCGTGGTCTCGGTCCACATGGAGTGTCGACCTGGCCCGGGGGGTGAGTGCAACGTCGTGCTCAAGGAGCAGCAGCAGTTCGTCGTCGACTACTGGATCCGCATCGGTTACCGCGACGATCCAGACGTCCCGCTGCGCTCGGCGGCCGTCAGGGTGGCGCCGGACGGCCAGTTTGAGGAGTTCGAAAGCCAGGAGACGCCCGCTGTCGTGGCGCCAAACGCGTTTGTCGAGCTCGAGGTGCGCTACGACGGCGGTCGGGTGACGGTTAGCCGCGCTGGCGCCGTCGTGTTCTCCTGCCAGATGCCGCAGATTACCGTGGCGTTCGTCGGCGTCGGCGGCTGGAACGGCCCGATCGACGTCAAGCTCTTCAAGTTCGACCAGCAGTGGGGCTACGAGGAGGCGCAGTTTGAGAACGGCGCCGACACCGCCCCGCCGCCTCCTGGATAGGGCTCCATCTCGGCAGCAGCCTAACTCCGTTCAGGTGGATGCGGTTGCCCACACTGCCCCCACCACCTGCTGGATAGGGCTCCATCTCGGCACTGGCCTCATTCCGTCCAGATGGATGCGGCGTCGCACGGAACACGGGCAGCCAAGTGTGGCCTGCCGAACCGTCTGCCTGGCGTCTAAGCACATCACTGTCCACCAGATCGTTAAAGCTTCAGGACCTTACAAGTTTCCAAAGAATCTCACAATCTGAGGTTCTGTAATAACATGATAATACTTATCATTTCCACATCAAATGACCAATGAGAAATCTCGCAAGCATGTAACATTAAGACCTGTTCCCGACTTGTCAGCTTGATTACAACTTCATCCCATGATATCACGATTTCACCCACATCTCCTGCCTTCATTGTAGATGACTCTCTGACATCAGATCGTACACACGGATTTCAGCGCTGCGGCCTGCCTATTCCTTTACCGTGGTTTGAACCAGCCCAGCCTACCCTACCTACTGTGGTCCCTAACTAGCAGGCATCACAGTTGTGTGTACTTGCCTCTCCCTGTCTGGAGCGCGCGTCGCGAGCTTGCGGCTCTTGAGCTCTGGGCCTATTCAGAAGCCCACCCTGGGAGTGCCCTCCTGCACGTAGGCACCCGACAAGCCACCGGTGGAATAAACACGTTTGATGTGCTCTGCGTGTGGGACAGGCTCTCTGTTACGGTGCCTGCCAGGTGTCGCTCGCTCAAGAAGTGAAGTTTCGGAACGCCGTCATGGACTCAGATCCAGCCACAATGAACTCAGCTGAATGAACCAGCCAGCATCGATGCATTGCGATAGCCAGCTCGTTTCGTATTTGTAATAACATAACCACTTAATACCCAAAGTGATGCATTTTTTTAGCAACGTAGCCAAGCCAGAAATGTGGTCCTATCTGGTCTGACTATTACAGCGACATGACAACGCTTAGTTCAGTATTGCTACTACAATACAATCCTATCTTAGACAATTCAACAAAAGTCAGCAAAGGCTTTTGTTTCTCGCTGTACACTATTATACCGAGTTGAATCAAGAGGCCATCAGTCACACTGAGCCGCTTTGCACTATATATATATGAGATGATTAGCAGCCTTCTAGGACTTGTTTGCTAAAAATGACGCGCCCTCCGTTTATCATTGCCATTTTGTGCAGCTTGTTTACACTCTTGATGGCAGACTGGCCGCTATGCCGGATCTCCTTTTTACCTAGGATCAAGGACAAAACTTTTGTTTACTACAAAACTATTGTTTTGCTTTTTTGGCATCCAGTTAATATATGCACCTAATAGGTGGCTGTTCGAGTAACGCGGTGCCTCTCCTTCCAGACAGTCGAGAACCAAATAAGTAGCCCGGTCGATAGATAGCCCTCTTCATGGGCAAGGGTCTGCTGACTGCGCCCTCTATCGTAACTGGCAATACGCCGACTGGCTGTAGACACAACGTACTGGGCAGCGTCTAAACAGCAACTAATTCTAAGTAATCAGAGGTCTTATTGCGTCATTGAGGGCTCCTGCGTCGATCTGGGACCAATTGCGCGCGTCAAGAGGCCTCCCGTGTCAGAGAGGGGACGATTGTGACATGATATATTCTTCTAAGGGCCTCATGATCGGCTAGGAGACCCACCCCCATGTCGGCAGAATGGCTGTTATTCCTCACTGTCGGCAAATTGCAAGTTATTCCTCACACACTGCGCGAGTCAACACTTAAAGAAATTGCCACAAATACGCCGTTCTGAATTCAAAACCCATGTCTGTCGTCACCTGTACGTTTCGCGCGAGCTATTTCTGTCAAAACTCAAATCACCTGCCAGTCTCCTCTCGTCGTAACGACATCAGGATGGTGTTGCCTACCGATGCGATGGCATATTCTCGCTTGCCCCGTCGCCGATAGCTGACTCCGCGGTCACCGGAGAAACCGGAGGGCCGCGGTAGGAGAGCCCTCGGGCTAGGATTACGACACTCGGCACTAATTGGCCCTGGAGCGGCGACAGTAAATACAGGACGGTGATGCCGCGGCCCGCACTGGCGGAGACGGCAACGGAACAACAGCCCCTTTCGGCGTCTTTGGTCGCTTATCTGACAGCCGTGCCACCAGGGTGCCACCAGTGCCAAAGGCTCTCAGACATGAGTGCACGTTTGACCGCACGCGCTTGTTTGATCGCAACGCCCTGTTTAAATTTGTCGAATGAAAGCAACTCATCCCAATTTCACTCATAATTTGAGGTGAAGCATCTGACCAACGCCATGGTCAGGTGCTTCACCCAAAATTATGAGTGAGAGTTTAGAAGAGTTACATCCATGCGTGAGTCAGAACACCTACGCACGAGCGTTTTGACGGAACACGCCGTCATTCGCATCGATGTCGCGGACGTGTCGCGGACGTTCAGCCGACACTTTCGGACCTACGAATCTATGACGTCACTATGCCTCTGGAGCACCGAACTCTCGCCATTCCTCACACAACCGACTGCGGCCGTCAGCACTGACCACATGGCGGTGCAGTCGAAGTGCACCATCATCCACTTGCTAGGGTTGAACGCCAGCGAGTCGGCGAACTCGACCCCGACCAGCCAGTGCCGGAACTCAGGGCAGATGAACGCTGTGCCGGCGTACGCCGCGTCCACGTGCATCCAGATCTCCTCCTCACGACCTACGGCGGCGCAGATCATTAGAACACATCAGCCCTCCAGATCTCCTCCTCACCACCTGAGGGAGTGCAGATCATCAGAACACATCAGCCCTCCAGATCTCCTCACCGCCTGAGGGAGGACAGATCATCAGAGCACATCAACCACCCAGATCTTCTTCCCACGGCCTGGGGGAGGGTAGATGATCAGAACACATCAGCCCTCCAGATCTCCTCCTCACGGCTTGAGGGAGGGCAGATCATCAGAACACATCAACCACGCAGATCTCCTTCCCACGGCCTGAGGGATGGTAGGTCATCAGAACACAGCGTTCAGGCCTCCTCCCCAAGACCAGAGGGAGGTCACCCAGTCTCATCAGCCCTCCAGACCCCCATCACGGCTTCCGAAAGCAGGGGGTCGTTGGGGCATACCACCCACCCAGATACCCTTTGGCATCCTCCTCGCAGCCTGCAGGGCTATATGGTTATGCTGGTCACCAGATCCCCTCGTCGCTGGCTCAAGAAACAGCAGCTGCACGTGAGGCACGACGGGTTGGGGACGGTCGTCAGAATTATTAAACGCTACAAAGGGTTGTAAAACCAAAGTGTGTGACTGGCATCAGCACATGTATCTTTTACAGGTCAGGTGTTATTGCGATTGTTCTAACAAGCGTTTGTCAGTCAACCTTCATGGCCATTCAAACGAAGTCCCATTGCTGTCTGCCGGGCATGGGATGATGCTGTAGCGGAAGTGCGAGAGAAAAATCGGGCGCCCGATAAAAGACGCCGACGAGCGTTGCCGTGTCGTCAGAGAAGTGTGTGTTCGTTTATTGTCCATGTACGATCTTTTAAGTGTTTGCCCACCACTTATCAATGATCAATTTGGTTCTTGTTTGTTCGCTGAGTGCTGATTGACAGCCTGGCCTAGGAGGATAGTTACCGCTGTCAAGTCATATACCTCAACAGCCTGACCTAGGAGGATGGTTACCGCTGTCAAGTCATATACCTTAACAGAGCCGTGACGTTAAGCCCGACCGTCGACCCACCATTTTATCCTCCGTCTTGCGCCACCCTGTATGCTCGCGACTCCACGCTTTTTCGGGGCAGGCTGCACGCGTCAGTTACGAGTGGGCCGTGAGGCCCTCTGAGGCCAGGGGGGGGGGGGGGCTGGCCGGGTAGCCGGCGCATATCGTTCTTAGGGGTCCCTGCGCGGCCTTAAACTCGGCCGTTGCCCCCCCCCCCCCTCCCCCTTCCCCAGACGCATGTAGTCTTGCCCCACCGATATCCATTCTCCTTCATCCCATAGCCTTGAAATGATCGGTTTTTGGTCGAAAATGCTTAAATCCAAACAACCATGATATTCAGTGCATCGTGCATCGTGCATTCAGATAACGGCATCGCGATCTTTGTGATCCGCTCCGCTTTTGCCATTTCCGGGTCGGCATCTTTGGTTGCCGACGTCGATGCTTCCGACTGGATAAAGCACAACCAACGCAAACGTGCTAGTCCCGGTCACTCGGCCGCAACCAGCCGGTTGACAGCACGAGTCCTGACGTCAAGTTTGCTCGCTAATGTGGGTCTGCACGGAGGCTTTGGCTATCAGCTGATGGCAATTATCACGGCAACTGCTGCCATCATTCTTTATCGTCGCTGAAGATCGTTCCAGTGCAGTAATGCTATTAGTATGACGCGCACGCACGCACGCACGCGCAGCAGTGGAGCTGACGTTCTCATGCAGACCAGCTAACTTTACACTCACAAATCGGTCCAAGTTCACTGAGGTTGTCGAAAGCGCAGGCTCCTGTGGTTCCCAGCGTAGCACAAAGCTGAAAATGGTAAGCTCCCGTTAATGGTGAATCATGGCATGGTGACTGAAGCTTATCAAACAAATCCGTAGTATAGTGAAACATTTCGGCACAAATGTCACGTGCGCTCTGACAGGCTGCTGCAGTCTACAAATCGAGGACTGGTGGAGTAAAAGTGCACCATCAGTATAGCTTCCAGGCTAAAATAATCGAAAAGTGAATGCCTCTCTGCTTGGCTCGGTCACGCCGCATTGACCATATTTGTGGCTAGATTTATCGCATCATATTTACTACAAACATATCAATGTATATATGTGTATATATATATATACATAAATGTATATATATATATATACATAAATGTATATATATATATATATATATATATATATATATATATATATATATATATAAAACATCGGTCTATTTCAGCAGGCAAAAGTCGACCGAAGAAATCTTAGTTGCACACTACGCCCTAGGGCGGCCTCTCCGCCGCCATCCTCACGAAGAACGGTATGAGTCCCTTCTGGCGGTCGCGTCGGATGGCCTCCACCAGCTTGTCGCCGCGTAGGCTCAGTTGGTGGTCGGTCTCGATGTAGCGCATCTTCACGAGACCAATCAGGCCGGCCTTCTCCACCGACGAGTGCGCCTGTCGGTCAGCATGCCGGCAAGGGGGACGCCCAGGGGACGGTCAAGGTGGCGTCACAGCTAGTCACCGGGCTGAGGTCGACTCAGTGACCACGGGCAGCTGATCACCGGGGGTCAGGTCGACTCAGTGACCACGGGCAGCTAGTCACCGGGCTGAGGTCGACTCAGTGACCACGGGCAGCTGATCACCGGGGTCAGGTCGACTCAGTGACCACGGACAGCTGATCACCGGGGTCAGGTTGGCTCAGCGACCACGGGCAGCTAATCACCGGGCAGAGGTCGGCCCGGTGACCATGGGCAGCTGATCACCGGGGTCAGGTTGGCTCAGTGACCACGGGCAGCTAATCACCGGGCAGAGGTCGGCCCGGTGACCACGGGCAGCTGATCACCGGGGTCAGGTTGGCTCAGTGACCACGGGCAGCTGATCACCGGGCTGAGGCCGACTCAGTGACCACGGGCAGCTGATCACCGGGGGTCGGGTTGGCTCAGTGACCACGGGCAGCTAGTCACCGGGCTGAGGTGGGCTCAGTGACCACGGGCAGCTGATCACCGGGGTCAGGTTGGCTCAGCGACCACGGGCAGCTAATCACCGGGCAGAGGTCGGCCCGGTGACCACGGGCAGCTGATCACCGGGGTCAGGTTGGCTCAGTGACCACGGTCAGCTGATCACCGGGCTGAGGCCGACTCAGTGACCACGGGCAGCTGATCACCGGGGTCGGGTTGGCTCAGTGACCACGGGCAGCTAGTCACCGGACTGAGGTCGGCTCAGTGACCACGGGCAGCTGATCACCGGGGTCGGGTTGGCTCAGCGATCACGGGCAGCTAGTCAACGGGCTGAGGTCGGCCCAATGACCATGGGTAGCTAGTGACCGGAATCAGGTCGGCTCAGTGATCACGGGCAGCTAGTCACCGGGCTGAGGTCGGCTCAGCGACCACGGGTAGCTGATCATCGGGGTCGGGTTGGCTCAGTGACCACGGACAGCTAGTCAGCGGCTGAGGTCGACTCAGTGACCACACGCAGTGTTGTGCCCGACACGAAGCCAGTGTCGCGCAGCATGTGTATGAGACAACAACACAGTTTCATACCTAAGGCAGTAGAACATCATTGAATATCCGCAGACTGCAGTGAGTGGTGGTAGAGCTCTGAACGTAGTCGAACGTCCTTTGAGCGTCAGCCCGAGGGCAAACAGCATGGAGAGTTTGATGATGCGGAAAAGTCGCACATGTTGGTAGTCAACGAATTTCCAGCGAGTCAGCCGAGTTAGCGGGGGGAAAGCTGTCAGCTCGAGCACAGCAGCACCGTCCTCCCCTGCTCGGGAGTAATACGGGAGCAATCTGCCGCTGCTTAGAGCACAGCCACGCTATCGTCTCCGACTCGGGAGGAATACAAGAGCAATCAGCCGCTGCTTGGAGCACAGCCACGCCGTCGCCCCCTACTTGGGAGTAATACAGGAGCAATTAGCCGCTGCTTGGGAGCACAATCACGCCGTCGCCTCCTACTCGGGAGTAATACAGGAGCAATCCGCCGCTGCTTGGAGCACAGCCACGCCATCGTCTTCTACTCGGGAATAATACGGGAGCAATCAGCCGCTGCTTGGAGCACAGCCACGCCGTCGTCTCCTACTTGGGAGGAATACAGGAGTAATCAGCCGCTGCTTGGAGCACGGCCACGCCATCGCCTCCTATTCTGGAGTAAGGACACAGCCACGCCGTCGTCTCCTACTAGGAAGGAATGCAGGAGCAGCTGCTTGGAGCACAGCCACACCGTCGCCTCCTGCTCCGAAGCAAGACAGGAGCAATCAGCCGCTGCTTGGAGCACAGCCACGCCGTCGCCTCCTACTCGGGAGGAATGCAGGAGCAATCAGCCGCTGCTTGGAGTACAGCCCACGCCGTCGTCTCCAACTTGGGAGGAATACAGGAGCAATCAGACGCTGCTTGGAGCACGACAACACCGTCGTCTCCTACTCGTGAGTAATACAGGAGCAATCAGCCGCTGTCTGGCTGGTGACTTTGGGAGGTGGGTTGCCTGGCTAACCATTTGCCCTAGTTTGTTGATTGACTGATTGGTTGGTCGGGTGACCGGTCGGCTCGTTAGCTGATTAGTTAGTAAGTGTTGATTGGCCAGCCAGTCGGTGGGTTAGCTGGTTGGTCGGCTGCCAGGTTGGCACTCGCCTGGTCTGAACAGTAGGCCACCAGTCGGCTGTTGATCTCGGCGTCGTCCAGGTCGGGACACGTCTTCTTGTACCGGCTGATGGCCTCCGTCCTTCCGGCGAGCAGGCACACGAACGTCGCCTCGGACGCTGTGGTCTGCGGGGAATGGTCTGCTTTCAGGCCTTCATCTGTGGCAGGTGGTCTGCCGCCAGGCCATGGTTTGTGGCGGATGGTGTACTGCTAGGGCTATGTTCTGTGCTAGATGGGCTATTGTCAGACCACCTCGGGCTGATGCGAATGGTCCGTGTTCAAGCCGCTGTCTGCGGCTAACGGCCTACGGTTAAGCCATGGCATGTAGCTAATGGTATGCTGTGGGGCTTTAGTCCGAGGTGGATGGTCTACTGGCAGGCCATGGTCCACCGCGAATGGTCCGCTACAAATTCAACACAGCGGCAGCTGCGGCCGACCGACCAGGTCGGGTCAGGTTAGGTCAGGTCAGACTTCAAACAGGCGAACGGTATAGACGGCAGAGTTCATCCTCATTGTGCAATATCGTTGGTATTGCACTTGAACTCCGAGTGGCTGGAAATGGCAAATGGTTTAAATTCGCATGCGTGATCTGTGCCTGTCACAATCATTCCCATTACTTCCATTACCGTATTGGAGGACCCAAGCTAAAAACAATCCCATCGCTCTCAATGCGAAAAAAGTTTTGATACCTTGTAATCCACAGTTATGATGTACAACGGGGTTGGCAATTCTACGAGACTCGAGGCGATGGACCGAACCTATCCTAGGATATAATGAGACGTTTAAGCTATTCTGAAACCAGGGAATGAGCCCTCGCCTGATAGAGGGTGTCGATGCAGCCCCCAAAGATTTTTAAAGATGTCCTTCCGGAATGCCGTGCAATTGTGCTCACATTTTCAGTAGCCCATGAGGCATCTGTTGCTCATGTTTCTGCACAAAAAGACATACCTAGCTTTTCTGGAATCTGAGCAGCGGCTGTTTTTTTTCTAAGAAACACTGCACGGCGATCTACGGCCGACACGCGGGCAGCGGGCGGCAACCGGAGATGCCGCTGGACCGTGCGGCGGGCCGGCACTGTTACCTCAACACCTTAGCAAAGCCATACAGTGGCACAGGCATGGATATGCCTGTGCCACTGTATGTCAAATGGGGGCAGTAATCCCCCCCCCCTGCCCCTTAGGCTCCGAGGACCTGAAAGAGCCTGCGATTGAGGGCCCGATTTGAGTGTCCGAAGTGTCAGAAGGCCGGCTGGAGGTCGTATTCAGGAATCTCGACCCGCAGATGCCGGCGCTCCTATGCCAGTCAGAGCGCCCTACGTGCTGATCAGCGGGCTGCTGTGTTTATTATAGCCTTATGTCGGTCAGACACCGTTAGTATCGCCAATCGACTCCGTTTCGGTATGGGCCTCAGGGACCATTTCCCAAGCAGGGTCAAAGCCGGAGCCAGCGATTTACATTGGTCGGGGCCTCATCATCTGTCAGAGCCACATAGCGCCTAACAGAAGCCCCAAATCAGTCAGAGGCAGTGCTCAGAGGCCCAAAGAGTCGAGAGGCCCCCATTGGGCCGAGGATTAAGGGTCCAATTGGAGGGCCTCAGGGCGCGAACGGCTGGCGGAGTCTTGTTCAGAGGTACCAGCCTGCAGTGACGGGCCCTCAAATGGCGGTCAGAGGACGCCGATTGGGTACCCCCCCCCCCCCTCCCCCTGAGCCGAAGGGCCAATGTTCGGTGTCCCTGGCGCAATGAGCGGCTCCTATGTCGGTCAGGGGTCACATCACCTGACAGGAGTCCTGTGGTGGGAAGTGACCCCCCGAGTCAGCCAGGGAGTCGTGTTTTAGGGGGCCGACGAGAGGTCGAAGGGTCTCTCGAGACCAAAGATCAACGGTCCCATTGTAGGGTTGAAAGGTCCGAAGGGATGGCTGTAGCTCACAGTTAGGACCCGGCCCCTAGGACCATGCTCTCAAATGACAATTGAAGGCTCGCTTGCACCAATTGGGGACCCATGAGACAATGCGTTTCTTTATTTCGACCTGAGATAACCAATAACGAACAAACGATTCTGTGTCGGTCTGAACTCTAAAAGCTCACTTCACAAGCAGGGACAAGGCCGGGCCCGCGATTAACATTGGTCGGGGCCTCTGTAACAATGTGGGGCCCCTGCATTGGTTAGGGGCCCACAGTGCCCAATAGGATGTCCTGTGTCAACAACTGGCTCCGGATAGGCCAGGGATTATTTGCTGGATAGGGACTGGGACGGGGTCACGAATGCCGGAGGGCCTCTTGCGATACTCGGGGCCCGTTGACAATGGAAGAAAACTTGACAAATTATGGTGAGTGCTCACGTCGAGGCAATGGAAGGATCACGTGTCAGTCAGGGCATCCACTACCGAATGGTGGGCCGTATCATCAAATGCAAGCATGGACCCGTTTAAACCGAAATGGGGTCTGTGTGCCAATTACTGGGCCACCTGCGGCGACCAGGGATCTTGTTGCGTCAACAAGGGCTCCTGAGTCGATCCGAAACCAGGTTTACAGCAGCATGCATTTGGGTATATACGTTGTCCAGACCGCCCGAGACCGGCTGAGATGGTGGACGGTAGGTGACGCCCACAATAACCGAACGACGCTCGCCGTCCGAGTCGGTACCCAGAGCGCCTCGCGGGCACCTCCTGTGATTGTAACTGGAAAGGGTGCCCACGGCGAGCTTTTCTCGGCATAGGATGGCAGCACCATCGCCTTGGGGCACTCTGGAGCGGTCTCGACGCACCATTCTAAGCCGGGAAACACCAGTGTTCTGTCCGCAACGAGATGTGGTAGCCATGTGTAAATGACACATGGCTACCATATCACGTCCAACACATAATGCCAACCTTTTGCTTGTTAGGAGTATGAAGCATTGAGTCAGTCTAAAGTACCAGTAACCGGACGTTCGAGTGACCGATGATCCGTTCATGCACCGGCTCACTAGGGCTGGTAGTCGGACAGCTGTTGGAACGGCGGCGGGTCTGATGAACGGTGAGCCGTGCCGGGCGTGCAAGGCAGCGTGAAGCATGGCCTGTTGGTGCAGAAGGTGACGCGTTCACCGCATTGAAATTGGCTGCTTCTTGGCTTCAGCATTTTTTTTTTAGCGTGTTGGCTTAGACATTGTTTTAGGTCAATAAGGATTGTTGGTGCGCATCGGTCGTTGCCGTATGATAACCGGACTTGGTTTGTTCGAGTTAAAAGTAGTTGTACACGTAGGAAGACACAAATCAATAGGACATTTTCTTCCACACAGGAGCTCTCAATAACTGTATGACGTTTTCAAAAATCCAGAGGTACCGAACTACATTTCATTTACCGACTGGGCGTAGACGCAAAATCATCTAAATTCTTGAAGTCCAAGTTTAAGTCCAAGCTCAAAGATAAAGCTGCGCATGTCTTGTTTACAACTTTAGAGCTGCCCTTTTGACGTACTGATAGCTACGGCAAAACGAAAAATACCGATTCTGCCTTTGCTCTTCCAGTTTCACCACCAGATTACAGCACCGCAAAGTGAACTGTAAAAGCCAATCCATTCTTATCATCAATCTAAAAATCCCACAGGGAAAATATCAGCCTACTTTCTAAATGTACGATTTGGGTTGGGTTCAAAGGTACCTCATTCAAATGCATTACCATTTTCGTCCACCCGTTGGCCACAGCTTAGCGTTGCTGCGTGGCCGATGGTGCGCAGCCTATGGAGACTGCAATACCCGGCGTCGAGGTTTGTGTTGCTAAGATTTGCGCACGCGCGTGCCCAAAACCAGGTTACGTAATTCCTAGCATGGATCGATTTTGACTGAATGTTGAGCACCTCCATACAAACGTGTAACTGCAAATTATTGACCCACTTCGATAAACAATCTACGTTCGCAAGGTAGTTGATCTGCGTAGAATCCAGATCAAAATGTGGGCAAAGCCTCTGAGTTGTACTCAGAAAGAGCTCACCGGACCATTTAAAAATAAAGAGTATCGAAGATTCATTTCATGGAGTCGTTTAATGCATATTTTCTTCAGTGTATTGGCTACAAACTTCAGATAACTGGTCTTGTGGTAGCTTCGGCTTCTGTTCCAGTTACAAAAGGAAAAATGAAAAAATAGCTACGAAAAGCATGCTTTCATTGACCAATGGGCCAAACCCGGCGCTTTTTAGGGTGGGGGCCTTTCACTAGCAGGGGCCCTTTGTCCGCCCTGCGCCCCTTCCCTTGCCAAATGTCTGGTTGCGCTCGTAAAGCTCACTGTATATGTTGATTGCACCATGAATGGGGCTCCATCAAACCGTGAAAATAAAGCACCCAATGGTGTCATGTGTTTTAAGTGGGGATGTATGTAATCACGAAGCGAGTGATGATGCGTACCATAAAACATAGCTTGAATAGTTTAAGCCGAAGGTTTGGGGTATCGGCATTTGGAAACATGCAAGTATGTGACAGACCGGGCAAAGGTGACCACTGATGGGGCAAAAACACCGGCTATGCTTGAGTCTAAGCAGGGCTGACCATACAAGATCCATTTGACATCACCTTGCTCTATACTCAGCACACTATGGATGGCCCGTTATACCGCACGTCTGCACATTCAGCCAGCAGCATTGTTGCCATCGTAATAATACTGTTTGCCAGACATAACCCAGGGAGGTAGGCGGTGACTGATTTGCTGTCAAAATGTATCACGTAGTCGTGAAAGTTATATGCTTGTTCACAAAACACTTACGTCGTTTAAAGGGAGTGTTCCACATTTGTGTGGGTTGCTGAGCTGGAATAGCCGCCCTGAAGATCATTAGGGTCAGTTTCCAACTTGAACCTTCCAAAGACCTAAACCCGTCTAGTTTCTGAGCCCCACGTCCGCAAATGCCACGCACAATTTTTCGTGCCATACCATTTCAAGGTCACCCGGGCGTTCATGATGTCCCAATAGTGTCATCAAAATACTGTCATACCATTGGCCATGCGGAGATCAAGGTCAATAAACATATAGTTGCCCAGTCGTTTATGACTAGCGTTCGTGAGCACGCTACCCAGATATGACTGCCGCCAACTGGCTCTCCATCAATGTTGTGCGAATAACGAAGACGTAAAAAACAATGATGCATTGGGGAGTATACGTGCTAAATAGAGAACTTGTGTTGTCTTTGACAGTCTTCTCTTCTTGAACGTATACCAATAGTTACAAGTAAGCTTTTTCATCATGGCTGATGCTTGCTTCAATATCTTCGAATGTGGAACATTTCGCTCGACATCCAGGGCTGCCAACTCATTATTGGTCCGTTGACCTGGAGTCGGATATCATGAACACTTGCCCAAAACGCAAAAAAATAAGCACCGTCGTCCCTGCATTGAACGCCGAGCACGCCTGTTCAGGTTTTGTGTCACCACGAGGTATGTTGTCGTATGTATGATGTAAAGCTAGAAAATGTGTTTTTTCTGAAAATTTTGACCTTGGTCCTAGAGTACCGGTGTCAATTATTGACCCCGCAAGATAAAACTGGTACCAGTTGCGAGATCTCGTTGAGAACAATTCGCTGGTGTTTTCCACTAAGCTCTATGTTAGTTCGGAAACGTCAGAGGCAGTTGCATCGACCCCCGGTCGGTCCGTGTTATGAAAAACCAATCCGCATTACGAAAACGGCAGATCAGGGCGAAGGCGAAATAAAAAGTAGTCATTAAAAAGGCACACGTTGTGCACGCATTACAATCGCCCAAAACCGCGCTACATGTGGGACGTATGCGCAAGAGTTCTTTAAGGGATTGCAAGTTGCTCCCCCCTCCCCCTTAAAAAGCTTTTGTTTGCACGCCATGCAATGACAGTGTTTCACTCTTGAATTCCGCAAAACTTCGGGAAAAACTTCTTCCTCCGTGTGTCGGAGCCCATGAATGCATCAAGACAGATCTGGAGCACATTTAAGTTGTTTTAATGTTGAGCAGGCGCGCGGAAACACTAAAGGTTGAGCAGCCAAATCCCGTGTTCTAGTCAACCTTTTCAAGACATTACCATAGGGCCAACATTTACCTTCCACGGAAGTGGAAGGGTCGCCGCTCTGTTTGCCCTGGCCTGAAATGCGCTTTCACAGGGCTGTCCTGATATAAAAGCCACCGTTACCGAGGCTGTGCTCACCTGAATGACGCCGCCGCCATGGCTGTCCTTGGAGCTGTGCAAAAACTCGTCGGGCAGGCCGATCATCTGGCCCAGCCAGTCCATGACGATCATCTCGAGCTCAGTACAAGCCGGGCTCGACGCCTGGGGACACAAAGCAGAGGCGTCGCGTCCCGAGCCGTCCACACCTTTCCCTTGCGTTTTCCGTGCTCGTTGTGTGGCCAGATGGAGAAATAACAAAGTTCTTGAGCCGTCCTTGCCGCAGGAGCTCGACTGATCTGGCAAACCGGCTCGGCACAGCTCTGAGATAGTTGACACGGTATATGTCGTGCGTTTCACTGAGTTTCCTTAAGTGGATATGCATATACAGAAGCTGGAGAGGAGATTAGTAGAGAGAAGGGCTGGAGAAGCTGGGATTTCGGTTAGTGAGTGAGCGTTGAGAGGGCTGGAGAAGCTGGTATTGCGGTGAGCGTCGAGAGGACCAAGAGACTGGCGGAAACGATGTCACTGTCGTCGGAGAAAAAGCTGCGCTCTGCACTGGGCCAGTCCGGTTTCTACGCCAGGTTTATTGGAGGCTACTCGTCGCTGGTCGACTCGCTACGAGCTCTCCTGCGCTAGGCTGAAAGAGGGCGGGAAATTCCGTTCAAGTGGACGGAGCAGTCGGAGGCCGCCTTCATGCAAATGATAGCAGAGATCACCAATCGCTCAGCACTCTCATATTTGAACCTACTCTGCCGACGGTGGTCTCCACCGACACGTCGGACGTTGGTCTGGGTGGTGCACTCGGCTGGATACAACCGGAGGGAAAGAGAGTTGTGTTTTTTTTTGTGTCCGCTGGTCTTTTATCGGCGCGACCCTGGCTGCTCGCTGGGCAGTTGAACACTGGCATCGGCATCTATCCGGTTTGCATTTCATTCTCAATCCGACCACCAAGCTCTGTTGCTGCTGCTGACATCAAGAGGAGTTGGCAGAGCGGGCATGAGGATCTCCAGGCCGGCGAGCCGCTTGCTCGTGTACAACTTCGATATCCATCATGTGGGTGGCAGGAGCGATCTCATAGACGGTCTCTCACATCCGCCGGCGAGATGGCCTCGTCGCCGGGTAACGAACAGCTGATGGTGGCGGCGGCCACCGACCGTGTGGGGCAACAGTCAGCCGTCAGTCGCACAGAGCTTCGAACTGCTGTCGAGCTGACTCGGTCCTCAAGCCCTCGGTGCAGCATGTGTCAGGCGGGTGGCTAAGGATGTGCAGAGACTGTCCTGCAGTCCTGCAGCCTTTCTTTAGCTGTTGACAGCAGCTGACGGTGGCTGATGACGTCTTCAGGGTCGAGCACGCCTACCGCAGCTGGCAAGTCAGCGGGCTCCCCTCATGCCACCGCTGACAAGTCAGCGGGCCCGCGTCATACCAAAGCCAACAAGTCAGCGGGCTCTCGTCATACTACAGCTGACAAGTCAGCGGGCCCCGTCATGCCACAGCTGAAAAGTCAGCGGGCCCGCGTCATACCACAGCTGACAAGTCAGCGCCCCCCCCCCCCCCCGTCTACCACAGCTGACAAAGCAGCGTCCCCCGGCATACCACAGCTGACAAGGCAGCGAGCCCGTTCATACCACAGCTGACAAGTCAGTGGGCCCCGTCATACCTCAGCTGACAAGGCATCGCCCCCCCCCCCCTCCGGTCATGTTCCGCCTGTTCCGGTACTCTATCTGCTCGCTGCACCGTGAAGTAAATTAGGGCATTGATTTCATCGGCCGAATTGAGAGATAGAGGAGGGGGGGAGAGAGAGAAGAGAGAGGGAGAGAGAGGGATGAGAGAGAGAGAGAGGGGAGAGAGAGAGTGAGGGAGAGAGAGAGAGAGAGAGAATAGAGAGAGAGAGATGAGAGAGAGAGAGAGGAGAGAGGAGAGAGAGGAGAGGAGAGAGAGGCGAGAGAGAGATAGAGAGAGAGCACAGAGACGTTTTGCTATTTTCATGGTTGACTAAGTTTCGAAGTGGCCAGAGGTGGCGCTCTGTGCTCATCCCAACTTCGAGTCCGCCTCGACTTATAGAAGTGCAGTTGCAGGCAGGGAGGGTACCCAGAGCAGCTTGTGTGAGATAGTGATACTGTTCTTACTTCTAACAAGTTAGTGGAGTGCCTGAAGGAGGTCGGAGTCTGGTAAGTACGAGTGACACCGTACCATCCCGATGGAGTCGGTGTCGTGGAGCGTACCAACAAGCTCATCAGGGGAGTTCTGCAGACGGCGTCCTCAGAGGGTAGGGAATGGCTGGTGGTCCTCAGAGATTTTCTCCTCTCGTTTTGCTGCACGTCCCATTCCAACACCGACAGGACTCCAATGGCAGGCCGACAACTGCAGACTCGGCGGCAGGACTCCAGTGGCAGGCCGACAGCTGTGGACTCGGCGGCAGGATTCCAGAGGCAGGCCGACAATTGCAGGCTCGGCGGCAGGACTCCAGTGGCAGGCTCCAGCCGCGGACTCGACTGCACGCGGCGACGCACCCCAGCCTGCCCGCTGAGGAGGGCGCTACCCGGGAGATAGAGACAAACGAACAACAGCAGCAAAAAAGAATTTGATCACACATATCGGACTCGGTCAGTCAGCACCACGTTGGAGACTGAGTCCGTTACAGGATCATTTCCCGTCTCAGTTATACGATGGGTTGTGGAGCTTTTGTCCCGTGGAGAGGCTGACTCGGACTGTTCGAACGGACAGTGGCTACCCACATGTGTGTTAAGTGTTGCCAGTACGGGCGCAAAGGCCTTCGGTGTCGCTGGCGATGAGGTGCCCTGAAGCAACGACGGGCGGCTCGCCGACGCTGGCCACGGAAGGCTCGCCGGCGCGGGCCTGGGACAGCTCCCTGGCGCGGGCCACCGGCGGACCACAGAAGACTCGCCGGCGCGGGCCGTGGATGGCTCACCAGCGCTGGCGGCTGAAGCGACTTGCGGGAGCACGCAGCATTAGTGACTAAATCTGACCAGGTAGCCAGACGTCCTGATCGTTTCGGTGATGGTGTTTGATGATACAAGCGTATTTTTGACCTTTCCGTCCTTGAAAGGGAAGGGCAGATGTAATGCCGTACCCCGTCCGCCCCCGCATCTGACAACGGCGGCTCATGATGGGCCGCGGCAGTTGGCCGGTCGGGGTCACGAGGTCATAGCCTGCGGCGCCAGACGAACAGTGACGCCGGGAGGGCGCAGTTTGGACTGAGAACGCGTGCCGATAAGCCCAGTTCGCTCTGAGTTGTGTTACGTTAAAGGCAAAAGAAGTCTGATTGCCAACGGACTTCTTGGAGAGTATGAGTGACAGAGATAGTGAGGCGAAATACTGCAATGCTCTAAAGGCCGCTTGGAGGAGAAGGCGTTAGCTCGTTTGAGAAGTGGACACGCCACAGTTCGTCTCCACTGCCAGCTATGTGATTGTCCACTCTCGGTTAAACATATTGGTATTGAATGCACCAAATTTCAGGAAGAATGCAACCCTATGGAGGCCTAATACCGTCAACACAACGTCTAATTCTCTTTCAAATTCATCGTTGGTGATGAACGTCCTCATTTGGCAAACCTACTTTTAAACTTCCTCAGACTAACCAACTTTCACCAAGCAATGTTGAGTCCATAAAGAACGTCTTATTCCCATTTTTCCTCACCTACGTAATCATACAGCTGTTTATTTGGATTGATGTGCTCCAGGCGTGAAATGGCCCGATCAGGCCGAAACGTCTCAAAGCAAATACAATGTAAACTGTGAAATGGTGGATCAAGACACTTTAATATACCGTCTACAGTGACGCCGACGTTTGGATCTTCATGAACCGTTCCGCTCTCGAGGACGTGTTTCCCTATCCATCAGCCCGTGGCTGCATACCCGAGGTGCCGCTAACCGATGCCTCGGACTGAATCAGCACAACAGCGCAGAAGTACTAGTCCCGGCCGCAATCAGCGAGCTGACAGTACGAGTTCTGGGGTGCAAGCATGCGCGCTGATGTGGTCCTGCACGGGGGCGTTGGTTATCTGCTGACAGTTACCATGGCAACTACTGACGACGATCTCTGTCGTCGCAGAAGATCGCTTTCAGTGCGACACAAGGAGTCCGATCACCAGCAATTTGACAACTAACCCAAATCACGGCTAATGTGAGCCAGATAAAATCGCTCCAATCGTGAACCGAAGCATGGACGCAGTGATGTTGTATAAGCCTGTTATAAGGCACTTAGGGTTGTTCCCACATGCAGCAACTTCGTGTTTGCAAATTAAGTGTGTGGTTATTATGTTCTTTGCGTGGGGAAGCCCTTCGGAACAACTCCTAATGAGCTACGAAACGCAATCCTTAGGCACGAGCTTGTAAACACGTCGCTGACACTCGAGTAGGAATATGGCTTTTCAATATCATTCGGAAGGTTAAGCTGGGTGAAGACGACTGAACCTTGGCGATGAGAACAATGGCGTAGACGCGTTTTGACAGTCATATTGTAGACGTTTGTTGTTTGTATTTGTTTCCGTTTGGTCACAAGTGACCAAATCTTGCCGGCTGCTGAAGCCTTTTAATTGACATAAATCACTCGCTCGTCTGTTACTTTCCCGTTAATAAGTCTCTCTCCCGCATTAGTATTATACGCGAAACGGGTTATTTGCCTGACATCGCCACCGGCAAACCAAGCAACGGCGATGATATCTCCGATCTCCTTATCGCTCTGTATCTCTTGCGCCCGAGACGATAAACACGCGATGAGACACACGAGATTGAGTCATAAACTGCCATTGCGGTCAGTCGTGTTTACTGCGGCGTTTTCGGCGCCGGTCACGCCATTCAGAAATCCCTTGGGATGAGGTAAAGCGAACGTAAAGCTTCCCTTTATAGACCGGCCAGCGGCAACTTGGTCCATCAGTCAGCCCGGCTTCGTTCGGCTGTGCTTCGCTATTAGCCCGTGCGATGGGATTTCCTTTATGTGCGTTACGTGCCGGCTAAAAGCTTTTTGCAGAATTCAGAGGGTTACGTTCAGTGCGTGCGGGGCAACATTTGACGACTTTGATCATGACAGAGTCGAGGCCGGCGGGTAATGCACAGTTCCCAGTCGCTTTTTCCGGCTAATGTGACTAGTGAATGCGGCCCTCAAGATTCCGGCAACGTCCGCGCCTCCGCGGATGTTGCAGAAAGCGAACAGCATCGTCTGGCCCAGCCATCCTACTGCTTCGACTGTGCACAGACGCCAATGCCGGTGACAAATGATCACAGGCATGCAACGCTGCTTTCTCCGATTTTTGGTTTGTGGTAAACCATCAGCTATTTCGAACAATGGCTGCAGCAGTTGCTTAAGATCCTTACGTCGTAACACAGGTGGGCGCTGAGTTATGGATCTTTGAAGACATCTTGAAGGGTATCCGCCAAGAGCACACTTTAGTGTAGGATTCGGTACTCACCCATGTAAATCCCAAGCATCCTGAAAAGCCCGAGAACAGATAATAAGTGACGTGAAATTAATACAGATGGCACTAACACATATCTCTTCCTGTGCTGCGTCACGCAAATGACACTTGCGTCCAACCAGTAACACTGCTTAAGAAGTGTATATAAACAACTGCGTTGTGCTTTTCGATGAAGTATCACAAAAAGACATCTTAAAGCGTAAGCTATCTTACCCATGTTCCCACGTATTCGTTACTCTAGGCGTCGCGCCACATTCCAGCATGTGCCGATTCAAGCCTTATGTTCGCGAAGCGCCGTACTTTGGTGAATATTTGAGCTCAACAATTGACCGTTTCGAGATCTCCGCTCGCCAAGGGGTTCATAACGTAATATGAATCGGTCAGCGCCGAGGGACTCATAACGCAATACGAATCGGTCAGCGCGATGTTGTCACGTCTGTCGACACTGCCAAAGGCGATCAGCTGAGCAGCACTATGGCTGGCACCAGGCCTGACGGGTCGGGCCGCAGGCCCTCGCCCCTCGCGCCACTGACGGGCCACTGAGCGGCACTGCGGCTGACGCCAGGCCTGCCGGGTCGGGCCGCAGATCCTCGCCCTTCGCGCCGCTGAAGGGCACTTACCCATGGCGTTCGCGAGCATGTCCCCGAGCATGGACGGTGGCGACGTCAGTGCCGGGAAGTACGCGTGCATGTACGGACTCTGCCAGTGGGTCACCTGTTCAGAGGGGACGTGTGGTTATGTACGGGCCAGTGGGTCACCTGTACGCAGAGGGCGTGTGGTCATGTACGGGCTCTGCCAGTGGGTCACCCACACTCAGAGGACGTGTGGACATGTACGGACTGTGCCAGTGGGTCACCTGTATACAGAGGGTATGTGGGCATGTACGGACTCTGCTGCACGCACAGGCCGAATGGGCATGTAGAGGTTCTGGCAGTGTGTCACCTGTATGTATCGGACGAGTGTACGGACTTGGCCGTTGTATAGTCTGTATATGCAGACTCGCAACGGAGGTGCACCACAATCGTCACCAGATTTAAAAAGAAACCTCTAGGTACAATGTCTGCTTGTGGTCTTTAAAGTATGCCGGCTATTTGATTTGAAGCTTTGACGCTGGAAAATGGCAAGATTATCTTCATAATCAAGCGGGTGCTCGGTGGCACGGCTTAAACCACTGACAAGCACCTCATTGACGCTCACTGGAACGGCCATGAAACCAAAGAAGGGCGCTGCTTTCACTCGCTAGGTGTCGGCGTGATGTGGTATTCAAACGATTCGCCCCGTTTTGAGGAATTTTGTAGGAGTAAAGCTCATCAGCAGACCACTGCAATTAGGTACCAACTACAATTAGGTACCAACTGTCGATAGGTACACCAAGGACCAACTTCTCACACCACTGAACAGGAAAGAGCTCGCCTTGGGCAATCATTAACTTATCTACGTAAGCTCTCCTGTAGGCCCCACGAAGTCACATTCCGTATGTACAAATGTGGTGATTTAAAACAAGCTTATATGGTGCAGTCCCAAAGTATCATGTATAATTCATGTTTCGACACGGAAAGAACGGATGTTGAGCCCGCCTTACTGCTGCTTACCTTTAGTAGCGACCGGCCTGACACTGTTATGGTTTCATGGTGAGTGCCGCGCTCTGTGGGGAGCGTACTTATGGCTTCGGCGTGCGTCATCTAGTGCTCCAGCGGCTCTCATCGAACCACGTCATTCTCCCGGGGTACATGACCGTACATGTCGCATGGTTACCGGTACATGTACATGACATGTACATGACCGTACATGTCGCAACGGTAACTGTTAACGGTTAGCTGGGTAGACTCCCTGGACATCCAGATCAAAACCCAGCACGAAAATGACCAGGTAATTGCCCCTTCGACTTGCGTGACTGTACAACCCTTACTAACACTGTGAATGAGTGGTTGTAGCTTATTGGGTGGTTCTAGCGGGCTGTCATTAGATGACTTTGGCTAATAATTTCTTTGAGCCTTCTCATGTATGATTTTTCGTTGCCTATTACATAACACAATTCCTTCGGGTCTGCACCACCTCTTCGCCTGCCTCTTAACGTTTGTTTCGTTTTCCTAGCTGGGAGTGCTGCGACTTGATTTTATGTTTTCTGGTTTAACGTACGGCTTATTGCGTCGCTGGGATAGCGGGAGGACACTCCTGATTACCTGGTGTTGGGTAACGGTATAGAAAAAAAAGAAAAACGGTCCTAAATGCTTGCAACTTAATGGAACGGTGGCGTCGAGTCCCCACATACGTAAAATGGCCTCGTTAGGCCGCAGCGCCTTAACTCGAACAAAGCAAAGTAAAATATATCCCCATGCATTCCACTCGATGACGTCACCGACCCTACCTCCAACATCGCTGAAACATGTCAACTCAGAACATCCGCGCTCATACACTCGGACATCGCGAAGCTAGACAATGTGTACGCCGAGTGTGACTGGTCTGACGTGACTGTCCCGACTCCACTGGCATCGCGCCACCCACTCCAGACATGACGTCACTCCTATAAGCATTGACATGACAACTGCATCCCAATCTCCCCGGGGTATGTCAGTTGCACCTCACCGTAATGAATCCTGTCCTGACACGTCTCCCATCTCTCCCCAGAAATCACGTTACCAACCTCACCCCTGGAATGACATCGCCCTCCACTCCCCCCGCCCTCCCCCCTCCCCAGCCACGATGACGCCATCCAACTCTCCTCGTGGTGGCGTCATCAAACTCACCCCAGGCATGATGACGCGCTCAACGTCGGCCATGACGTCAGCCCAGGGCTCGCCCCGATTGGGTGCCTGCGGCGGCACGAGGTCGCACATGTAGCCGGGCTTGACGTCCGGGAACACGCGGCGGTCCCGGATGCCCTCCAGGTAGTCGGCGATGTAGTCCACCATCTCCTTCCCTGAGAGGCCGACGCGGGTAAAACCGGCTCGCTGCGGGCTCAGTAACGGAATGCGGAGAAAGGTTGCGCACCTCACTGTCGAATAACGTGTGGACATCTCATATCGAGGGGGGAATTCTATCTCTGTTTGATGGGAGACTACCAGGCCTCTGAGGTCCGGCCCCAAATGTGTCTGCGTTTTGGCATGTCACTATGAACACCATGTGGAAAATCTACCTCAAATTTTAATGTACCTGAATCACTTGAAAGGTCTACGCTTGACTAATACACTGAAAAATGTAAAGAGTTTTAACTTTGTGATATGAAAGCTATCAATCTGTGCTTTTATGACGCCTTATTCGTGCCAATATGCACCTACGCTTGGGAACAACCTGATATGACCCATAGCACCCAGCAGAAATTTTCAAACTTAATACATTCATGACGGAACATGACTTTCCGAAACATTCTCTAATGTTTGCAACAATTCGCGTAGTGGGCATAGAACACTATAGTGCAACTCGAAGGTTGTATAAAACAAAGTAGCAGCTTAGTGCCTGTGGTACAGCGCATGTGAATGACCGTCACGAGTAAGGAAGCATACTGAGAGCCGGCGAACAGAGCTTAACGCCCGATATATCTGCACCTCTGAAAACTTGTCCAGTGACTGTACATCACAGTGCTCCAGACAGAATCGCTTGCGTAGCATACTCAGCAGGAATGAGACTGCCAGCTTATCTGGCGAAGACTCAGTGAAAGGAGACCCGCGCTCACGATCTTGAAAGCTCGACCCGTCTAAAAAAACATGTTTCCAGCGTGTGGCAACTAACAGCCAGAGGTTGTCCTTAAAGGGTACTACACGTTTCCACCTACCAAAGAAATGCTTACCGCGGATCATCCGCGCTGGAAGCCAGAGCCATAACCGACTTCACCACTTCTGGTGGTACAGCGCATGTCGATTTTTCTCCACGTAGCATTTATTGCATGGCTGGTGTTTTGCGTATATTCGGTGCATTGCCCCGTTCCCATTTTTCCTTTCCCAATGGGGTCTCCGGCAACACAAGAGCTGCTTAAAAAGTTGAAACTCAGAAAAAGTATGCGCCCTTCCTCCGAAACAAATCTGTCTTGCCGTCAATTTGCGTCATCCGCGCTGGAAGCTTTTTTTGGAAGCAAAAGCGTCAAAAAATTGACTTGCCGTCAATTCAGGGTTCACGTTTGGGCCCATGCATGTTATTCCTGTTCCTTTATTCACCTCAAAAGGTACCCACCTTTAGTTCTGTATTCCGCGTAGTCCATTTTCTCTTCAGTAGAGTTGTTGTGGCGGATGCTTGAGTGTCTGTAAACGCAACAGACATACTGTGATTACCATTGCATTTCTTATTGCTCTTATTACATGATATCATTGTAAGCAGTGGTGTGGGCAGGTGGCACAGGGTGCCCGTTCCCCCCCCCCCCCCCCAACCTTTAGATTCCAAGGGGTCCTTCGGGCCGAAGCAAAGGGTCGCGACCTGGAATATCAGTCAGAGAGTCTCTTAAACGGTTTGAGGTCCCCCCCCCGAGACAACGGTGTCCATTTCCTAAGCAGGAGCAGTCAGAGCCAAAATTTGCCTTGGTCTAGGTCCCTGAAACAGTGGCCGGGGCCCTGTGTCGGTCAGGGGCCTACAGTGCCTTACATGGGGTCATGTGTCGGCTAGGAACCCCTTGGGCCTTGTTGGAAAAGGTCAAAGGAGGGGCCGAAGAACGCCTCGGGATGAAAGATAAAGGCCTCGATTGGACTCGGGCCCGCGCGTCCCCCCACCCCCACCCCCACCCGTAGTACCGTAACCTGAAATATCAGCCAGAGGGCTTCCATTGGGGCCCTCTTATTAGAGCTCCCTACTCCCATTATAAAGGGCCTTGACACGAAGCTAAACGGTCGGCTTGGTGTCCGTATAGTCCTTACGTCCCTCTTGCTAAGCAGGAACGAGGCCGGTGCCCGCAATTTGCAATGTTTGGGGTCCCTGACGCAATGAGGGACTCCCGTGTTGGTCAGGGGCCACAGTACCTAACAGGAGTCATGTGGTGGTAAGTGGACCCCAGAAGGTCAGAAAGCGTGATGAGGGGGAGCTGTGAGAGGCCGGAGGGTCTCTCGAGACCAAAAATATAGGGCCCGATTGGAAGGCTGAAGGGTTCGAACAACCGACCGTAGGTCACATTAAGGACGTCCTCCACCCCCTACCGCAGGGTCGTGATCTCGAATGTCAGTCAGAGGGCCTCTTGTCCCGGTTGGGGGCTCATGAAAAATGCGTTTCTCTTTTTCGGCCAGAGATCACCAACATCGAGCAATGCGCTGCATGTCGGTCTGAGCTCTGTGGGCGCATTTCCCAAGGAGGGAAAAGGCCGGCCCCGTGATTTACATTGATCGGTTCCCCTGCGACAATACGGGGCCCCAAGATTGGTCAGGGGACCGCAGTGTCTAACAAGTTATCCTGTGTCAACAAGGGGCCTCAAGTTGGCCAGGGAACTTTGCTGAACAGGGACGTGGTCTGAGCCCCGAATGCCAGAGAGCCCTTGCGTGGTCGGGGCCTTCTGACAATGGGGAAAAACATGAAAACTTATGATGAGTGTTTACATTCAGATAATGGCAGGGTCCTGTGCCAATCAGGATCCTGCAGCACGGAACGGCGGCCCTTCCTACCCAATTCCAACATCGGCCCGTTAAGCCGAACTGTAGTCTATGTGCCAAATATTGGACCACCTATGGCGATCAGGAGTCTTGTTGCATAACGAGAGTTCCTTCGTCGACCCGGTGCCAACCGTGCGGGTCAAAAGGTCTCCCACGTCAGGGAGGGGGCTAATGTGATATGACGTATCCCTCCGAGGGTCTTCGCATTGACCTTGGGATCCCGCCCCCGTGGGACCAGAATGATGGTCGGAAGACAACCCGGGGTTGGACGTAATGGTCATTTAGCCCTTACCGGGAACAGTGCCCCTAAAGTGCCCCTAGTGTTCTACTCAAGGGGAATCCTTAACCGAAAAAGTGACGGGTCTCATTCGTGTTGAAATGAATAGGTCGAAATAGGCTGACAAATGAACTAGGTCATTTTATGGCTGAGAATGTTCGCTGTTTTGCAGCGTTGACTAGTGAACTAAATCACCTCAAAAGGCCTAGGCTTGTGCGCATACAGCCTCGGGAGCGAGGGAAACCATGGCTGGGGTTGCAGTTTCCGTACAAGCAAATGGCGTTGCCCACTGCAAGTGGCATCTGGCAACGGGTGCCGTGCGTGCGCGAGCAACCGTCGTGAGACAACCTTCGGAATGTCTTTCAAAATTAATTCGTGCTGTTTAAAGATTGGTCTGGGTGTGTTTTTACAACTTTGGGGTTCTCCTCGCGACAGATAGATGGCTACGGCAACACGAAAAATGTGGATTCTTCCTTTACTCGTCCTGATCCACCACCAGATTTCAGCACCACTTCGCGGTGCTGGGAAGGTCCATCCGTTCTTTAAATCTAAAAATCGTATAGGTGAAATAGACGCCAGCACTACCTTCTAGATGTACGATTTGATGTCCTAAAGCGTTCAAAGATATAGGGACTGCATTTAAAATGGTCATGACTAGGCACAGGCATATTTTGGCCCACAGCGCGCTTTGACTGCAAATAGGAGTATAATTCCACATGCATTAGAAACGCACCGATGAGAGCGTCATTCAAGTGTATCATCTAATAAACGAATTTTTCGGACGTCTGCAATATCGATATAATGCTGTTTCTGACACCCCGTCTCGGAGCGGGCTAACCGTGTCTCGGCATCATGTCTACCAATACGACCCTCCCGGCTGGCGGTGAGCTCATGTGGTTACAACGCATGCACCCGGCACAACATAGCCTTAGGATACGAGCGGGCAGGTGCATTGTGCCGGCGCTCTGGGGCGGGCATGACGGGGACCGTGGGCGGAGCTGCTTCATTTTTGAACACGGTAGGCACTGTAGACTAAAGCGTGGACTGATAGTTTGTAAAAACGGCCAGTTGAAAAAATTGTGTAGATCTAGCAAATGCAAGGTATGCATGTTTTGTATCAATATGCATGTGTTTGAAACATCATAGGGCAGTGAAATATGGCCTTCCGAGTTATTCGTGTTTTGAAGTACGTCAGCACCAATCGCGGCATCAACGGACAAGCAGTTGGCTTTCAACCAGGTTAAAGCGTAAATCGAAAGTTTCGGACAACAACTGTTTTTTGTGATGCAGAAGTTTGGGCAGCGATTAATTATGATGGAAATGAGGCTGAGAATCGAATAACTTAGAATATTTTTGCAAATGATGAATAAAAACACCACGAGAAAAGGCCAAAGCACGCGCGCAAGTGGGATGAACACAGAGGCAACTAGGGTAGGAACCAAAGAAACAGATGTTGTTTAAAATTAGTTGAATAACAATAAAAAATAATACAATAATAGAATATACATCATATAAACAATGATAACAATAATAATGATGAATAATAACACAAATTAGAGTTCGTTGTTAGAACCAAACTCTGAGTTTGATTATTGCAGTTTAGGTATCGAATGTCGATGGCATTGCGTGAAAGAGCCATTTCATTGCCAATGTTAAAGCTGTCTAAAAACCCTTTTTGCTTTTAGCGGTCTTAGCGTATTGATCCGTCGTGAAAACAGTGATAACCAAGATAAATTATATATATATATATATATATATATATATATATAATGCAAGCCTCAGACTGCGTTTCAAGCGTAGGAAGCGACGTCTAAAGGCATTAAAAATGCATGTTTCATGCAGGTCATTATTTCCGTTCCTCCAATGGCTGCCGCCAAGTGTTCGCAGCAAGCCACACCCCTCGTGGCTGACGGAGACTGCAACGCTGGATGTCGATTTTTTGTTTCTAAGGCTTGCGAGCGCGCATATTCAAAGCTATGTTGCGCAACTTTTTCGCTTATCGGCTCTGACTAAAGGTAGGATATCCCACACGAACACGGGTTGGTCATTTCAATGTAAATTTGTGACTCCATTTCCCTACACAATCTCCGTCCACGGTGTTGTCAATATCTCTGTAGAATGCGTACAAATCGACAAAGTCTCTGAATTCTATCGGTTTATAAAGAGCTCGGTGAACCATCACTAAATAAGTAGCGTCAGCAAATTTTTCCACGGCAGTCATTTAGCGCCGCCGTTAGATTATAGCCGCCGATAGGAGGGCAGGCTTCTGCAGCCTTCGGGCGAATTGGAAGGGGTACGCCAGGAAGTGTTCAGCTCATCCGTCGTCATTGACAGTTCAGCAGACACCCCGCCGAGGTCTCTGGCCTGGTCTGGTCTGCGACAAAGCCGCATCACCGGTCCACGGACCCTTCAACGGCTGCTAGGTTTAGGCGTCATGCGCTGAATTTATTTTAGTTTTCCATCGCGTTCTCAGCGTAGTGAGCCATTGCTTTTAGCGGTCTCAGCGCATTAATCCGTCGTGAAAACAGTGATTACCAAGATAAATTACATATATATATATATATATATATATATATACATATATATATATATATATATATATATATATATATATAATCGCAAAGGACAGAACATGAATTCGTGTCACAAGACAGGTTTCTTTCAAACGTTTCAAAACACTAACCCAAGTTCGAAATTTGTGAGCACGTTATAAAAACGTTGCACAACCTTGCGACGAGTACGTCATTGCAGCGCCTCCCGGCCATACCTGTCAGTGGACAGTATGGGAAATCGCACAACGCATGCGATTATTCGGATGCTTAGGTCTGCCTACATGGACTTATCACCAATGTCCATTGTTATACGCTTCGTACAAATTCTATAAAGGTGGTCTCTCTCGCCCTCTCTCCCCTTCCTCTCTCTCTCTCTCTCTCTCTCCTCTCTCTCCTCTCTCTCTCTCTCTCTTCTCTCTCTCTCTCTCTCTCTCTCTCTCTCTCTCTCTCTCTCTCTCTCTCTCTCTCTCTCTCTCTCTCTCTCTCTCTCTCTCTCTCTCTCTCTCTATCTCTCTCTCTCTCTCGCTCTCTTCTCTCTCTTCTCTCTCTCTCTCTCTCTCTCTCTCTTCTCTCTCTCTCACACACGCACACACACACCTTTTCGTAACGGTGGTGAAATGCAACACAGAACCATGGAGCAGCAGACATCGCTATTTCGCGCCTTTAATAGTCAGCATTTGTGAACCATCTCCACGACAGGTAGCAGCCGACCGGCCAACAGTGACTCGATAATTTGGGAATTATGTCATCGTAGGCCTCGTGCGCGTAGGTCCAGTGGGTGTAGGTCTCCTGGGCATAGGTCTCGTGAGCACAGTTCTCCTGGGCGTAGGTCCCGTGAGTGT